ACTGCCTTCTTCCTGGGACTGAGAGAGAATGACTGGCTCAAGGTCACCCAGCTGGCTTGTGCCTAAAATGGGAATAGAACTCAATCTCCTGGTTTCTAAGCTGGTGCCTTAACTGCTACAGCAAACTGCCTCTTTGAAGTTATTTTAGTATTTAGGATCTCTATACACAAATGGTCATTTTTCAATGGTCTCATTGTTGTCATCTATTACTATTGCTGGTCCTGCTACACATGATTTGGGAAATGACCATCATTCAAACCTAGTTTCTACAAAATTAGACACGCAGGAATCTTAATGCATATATCCTCTAAAACAGTGTTTCTCAACCTTAGCAACTTTAAAATGTGTGGACTTCCAACTGGCTGGAGAATTCTGGGAGTTGAAGTCCACACAAGGTTGAGAAACACTGCTCTAAAATATGTGGCCTTCATCAAGACCCACTGGTGTTCTTATACATCTTTAAATAACCGTGCTACTTTTCTGTAGCAATTTCAACAGTAACTAATGGTAACTTGGATTATGTATTAATATAGCCATGAATATCTCTAGATACAACCCCCTTCCCTCCATTTTGCAATTTTGCAATTTTCATGGGAATGCTTTCTTCTTCTCAGAGCTCTTTGGAGCATGTCATAAAATATGATTTACCATTCAAGAATAATAGGATGCAAAGTCCTGCCACCCCCAAATGCCTGTAGCAGCATGAAAGCTTGCATTTCTTGCTCCACCATTCTTTTCTTGTCATTTCCACCTTACACCAGGTTTATATTCCCTTGTGGGCTGTAATCCCATATTATTATCCTATTTTTGCATAAGGGGGTAGAGTTTGCATTAAAATATGCCACATATCTCTCTACAAAGCTCCTTTTTAGCTGAAAATTTCAGTACCCTTCTTAACAGTGAGATAACTATAAATCGGCTTTCATGCATATGCAAGTCTATCCTTCTAAGCACTGTATTAATTATTTCAAAGATATTTAGAGGTCAGCAGTGACAGAAACCTCTATGCATAGAATTGCATTAATATAGGACACTATAAGAAAAATGGGATAGATCATTATATATATGTAGTACAATATAAGGTCAGAGTATCTGAAGCGCTTTTCTTTTCTTTTCTTTTTTTTAAAAAAGCAAATAGCAGAACCGGCTTCTATCTGCAAATATTCAGCGCCAATCCAAATACAAAATGGAGACATAATTCTACCATAGATCTACCTGAATAGTTATTTTAAAATGTATTTATTTATTCATTTGATTTATATAGTCACCCATCTCACTCTTTCATGACTCTAGGCGCCTTAATGTTGCTGCTTAACCAGATCCAAACCTCAGTTTGTATTCTTAGTTAAAATGACTGGACGTTATATATTGAGTCCTATTTTTCTGTTTTGTGTTGAAAAGACCATGTCTTTATGGCAATGTACATGCCATGTGTATAGGAAATCCCAGGTTCAATCTTGTCACTTCCTGTTAAAAGGATAATGTAACAGATGCTAACAAAGACTTCTTTCTGTCTTTAACTATTAGAACAACTTTAGTTGCTTCTCTAGTAGTGATGGAGAACTGGTCTGATCCTAGGCACAATCAATCAAACCAAAGGCTATAAGAAAGCAACAAAAAATGGAAGAGTAAAAGGCAGAAGGAACAATGGGAGGTACATACAGTCAGAAATTGCAGAGAGGAAAGCTCAGTATTACATATTGATGAAAGTCAAATGAATGTTCACCTTCTATACCTTGTCTATGTATAATAGTCCCTTTGTTGAGTCACATAAGTTATAAAGACACTACTGGTGTGAAATATGTTAGTCACTGTAAATTTCATCTTTAAACACCTCTGCATCTTTGATGATATATAGATGAATCTGTTTAGTCCCACTACATTTTCCAATGTTTCCATTCTTAAGTTTGCTATGGCTTTTTCTTCCTTCAGGATGTAGGAGGGTGGAGAATTAGTGAAAAAGTCTGCAGAAACTTTCATATGCATTTTCTCTTAATTTTATATGCACTTTTCCTAACACACACATTTTGCCTAATATTAAAACATTTGCTAAAGATATTTTAGCCTTCTTCCCTTTTAATATGCATAATTTTGTGCACTTTTTAAAATTGTGAATTATATCATAAAATTATAAAATGGTGATTTCACTTATGAGCATGCATCAGTTCATATATATCTGAAAAACTTAAAGTGGATATGCTTTTATTAAACTACAAACCAAACTTATTTCGTATTTATCCCTAAATACAGTTACAACCATCCAGTAAAGTATGATGTAGGTGTTTTGACCTCCAGATTGATATAATCAAAGCTGTGTGTGTGTGTGTGGATTTGTGTTGTTTAATTTCAGCAATACACTCCCTAGATAATTTCAGAAGCAGAAAGTCAAATGTTAATAGAAACTGCCGTCTATGATCATTATGCTTCATAAATTTATCAAAACAACAACAGAATCAACAGTGCTAATTTGCACATTTAAGCAAACTAAACAGTGTGAATGGTAAAACTACATTTTCTCCTGTAGCGTGAAGGTTTTTGAATGGCTGAAGGCAACTGAGAGATAATCATCTTCATCATATTCTGGACAAACCCTACTGACACCAATATGCTTTTCAGTGGCTTCACTGGAACTGAAGTACTGCAGTTTTCATCCAAAACAATTAAATAAAAGTAACTCTTAGAACTAGCAAAGTTATCGTTCTAAGAAATGATATCACAACTATTAATTAATACCTTGTGTAGAACAATGCACTTTGGACCACATTTAAAAACCAAGAGACATTTCACTTTTCTCTACAAATCTTAGCTACTTGCAAGCCCTTCAGAAAATAAGCAATGCTACTTTGCAGCCTTAAAGAGGTTTTTGTCCTGTTTTATTTTCTAGAGTTTACAATTCTTTGTTGACATCAGGCAATCATAGAGTATAATAAATTATAGAGTATAATAAAATATCATTTGTTATGATTTTATTTCTATAAACAGTGGCCTTTATCTTATAAGCTATTCTTCTAGCAGTAAGCGAACAGCCGTTTATGCAGGGGAACTTTTGATGGGTAATAGAATAAAATTTATTTATTGATTTATTTAATCCATATGTCGTCCAACTCCCAAGACTCCAACATTTTAATTGGTTAAATGTTGTCTGTTTTTATAGGCATAGTTTAAATGCTATTTTAACAATATCTGAGTAGTATTATAAATATTTTGTTTTTGAAATTTAGTTTTTGTATTATTTGATGCTTTGAGCATTGTTCCTTAATGGAAAAGCAGGGTATGAATTCCATAAATTAATAAATTGATAACAACATCAGCAAATTACAGGTAGTCTTTGACTTTCAACCATTCATTCGTTCAGCAACCATGCAAAGTTGTGACAGCATTGAACAAATGGTGGTTATGACCAGTCCTTGGAGTTCCAGCCATCCCAGCACCCCCGTGGTCACATAATCGCAATCTGGGCATTTGGCAACTGGCTTGCACTTATGACCGTTTGCAGTGCCCCACGATCATGTGATCGCCATTTGCAAACTTCCCTGCCAGCTTCCCCAGAAAGTCAAAGGAGAAGTTGGCAGGGAAGATGGCAAGTCACTGGGCTAAGTCTCCCCCACCCGAGCATCCTCCCCAGCCTCTCTGTCCTCACACTGTGACAGCCACTCGCACACTCCCGTGCACCTTCCCCAAGCCTTTCCATGCCTCCTCCACACCCCAGACACCCCTTCACCACCACCCCCACACCAAGCAGCAACGGCCCCAAGCCTCACTGGAGTCACGCCATGCTGCTCCAGCCACTTGCACACCTTCCCCCACTTGGCAGCAGCCACTTGTCTTCTTGCTAGCCTGCTTGCAAGCCACCTGGGACTTGTAACTTCCTGCCAGCCTCCTCACTGACTTCGGTTGTGGGAAGCCAGCAGGAATTTGAGAGGAGGTCCTTGTCTAACAACAGCTGCAATTCCGTTAACAACAATTTTTTTCCAGATTTTTTTATCCTGCCTTTATTATTTTTATAAATGACTCCATGGTGAACATACCTAATACTCCTTCCTCCTCCTATTGTCCTCACAGCAACAACCCTGTGAGGTGAGTTGGGCTGAGAGAGAGTGACTGGCCCAAAGTTACCTGCCGGCTTTCATGCCTAAGGCGGGACTAGAACTCAGAGTTTCCTGCTTTCTAGCCTGGTACCTTTAACCACTACACCATACTGCCTCTTTTTTGGGGGGGGGCTGCAGTTATTTTGGGGGGGGTTGCAGGGAGTGCCGTCGCCAAGCGATGCAGTTGCGCTTTATGAGCGCATTGCTTAGCGATGGAAATTCCAGTCCCAATTGCCATCATAACTTGAGGACTACCTGTAGAAAGCACATGCATTACAACTCTACAATGTCTACACATTATTATGGGTAAAAAAAAAAAAAAAACATTTTCCTTCTTTTTTCTTCATTGGCCCATCAGAAAAGTTTTTTTCTGAACTGTGAACTTTTGATTGCATGTACCTTCCTTTTTTTTTTTTTTTAATTTAGTTAATCAGAAGGGATGCTCAAACCAACAAATGTTTGGGTTATCAGCCTGAATTTAACACAGAAGGGAATTAATTAAGAAAGATGAAGTTATTAAATGAAGTTTAGCTTCCTGTAGTTGACTCAGAATAAGAAAAGTAGAAGTCATTCATCATTTCTCTCTCTCATTCCTTGTCTAGCAGTTTAAAGGTGTTACAGTTTAACACTTTTTGATGATAAAATCTAAGGCCAAACAATGTAGATATGTGCTTCTAAAAGAAACACCCTTTAGAACTAAGTTCCAATATGGGGAAGACAGAGTGAGGAGCTTTTTTGCAAAACTAACAGGCTGCCCATCAAAAGCAGCAAATGTTAAGACAGATCATTATTCTGCAGTATTAATTTATCTTAAATGTATGACAGAAGAGTATTTGTTTCTTAAGCCAGTGATTTCCTTCCACTGTTTGTAAAATAATTTTGAGGAAAAAAAGGCGCTAGTGGTCAACTTACCCACACATGGCAGCGAGTACCCAAAGACAGGATCGTGGACAAACTGGCGATTGTTCAACATGGTCACACAGTAGAGATGAAAACAGCCCAGGCAAATGACATGGTGATGAATGCATGGGAAGACTAACACAGGAGTCCTAAAGTTGAGGGAGAGAGAGAAATAAACAAAAAATAATAAAGGTAACGCGCAATTAAGCTTCCTGTGTGATTACACCAATATGATGTTTGCTTCATGCAGATAACTTTCAAGACTATATTCTGTAAGCTTAATTCTAAAAGGAGATCCACCTCCACACCAGTGCTTGAGCCTGTGGGACTTTGAGAAAGATGCAGTGGGAGCCATCACACAATGCCACTTATTTACAAAATGCCCATCTGACACAAACTGGTCAGACTACAAGATGAGTAATTGTTTCCAAGAACAGGCATACAAAGCAGAGTCAGAGTCAGAATGCTAGAGCAAAAGCCACTATAATTCAGAGAGTCCTGCCCACCCCAAAAGGCTGTTCTGTAAATATTGTACAGTCCTAATTTCTCAAGGCAAATACAGTAATTCTCCAAAATCATCTCTGCAGAATAATTATTCCAGCAAATTTATCTCTTCAAACAAATAGGAAGGTCAACTCTGATCACACACATACCTTTACACTGCTAGTACAGTTCATGACAGAAATCTACTATGGATGCACAACAATTTATGTCACATTGCAGGCACACAAAAACTACCCCCGCTCTTTCAATATTAACCACACACAGAGTCAAGATATTTACCTCTTATAAAATTACCCAGTCCACATATCCTGATTAGCTTTAAAAAAAAAAATGTTGTGCTCCCCCCAAGTTGCTTTTGGCCTCCAGTTTGAGAAGCCTTTCAAAATATATTTGTAGATAACAATATATCTTCTGTTATGGTGTGCAAACCACAAGGAGGAAATCAACGGTTCAGAGGAATATTGGCACAATTTTCTTTCCAAGGCTCGTGTAAATTGCAACAGCTACTTTTAAACAGGTGCAACTATATGAAGCCCAGGGGTTCAGTGAGTAAGCAAACTGCTGCTGTTCCCCCATGCCTGTCTTCCTTGTGAGTTTCAGAGGTACAGAGTATCTGATTGTCACCAGTTGAGCAGGGCTAATAGGTGTTCTTCATCACTGTGATGGATGGGTAGCCCCCACTCTGCTGCCTGAAGCTGTAAAGTAAATATTCCTACGGAGGATGCTCTCCTGGGATTTTCTTCCTCTTTTTCTTGATATGAGATTTGTCATTCACTCAAAAATGTTAATCATCTAGGGATAAGAAACTTGAAGGCAGAGGATAAGCAAGGTTCTAATTATATTTATTTGTAAGGATGTTCTTGTCTCTATTGGGAGAGGGAATATTTCCTGTGGGCCTGTGAATTTCCACACTATGTTCACAAAACATTTCCATGCTAAAAAGTTAACACTGGCAGCTCCATTGTATTCAGAATTCAATACATTATTTCTTGCTGCGTGGTGGTGTGAGATAACATATATTAAATGTTAAATTCTTAAAGAAATAAAAAGGGGGAAAAGGGCAGGCAGATAAATAATGAAAGAACCCCCTTAAATCCTGAAATAACAAGATGTCTCATTTAAAATTGCTTTAAAAGCTTCCAATGGGCTACAAAATTCCTGCTTCCTGTTTTCACCCCTATTAATGTCTGCAATTTCTTAAAGATTTTAAGACTACCATTTAACCCTTTGCAAATCTATTAAAATCTTCTATCTAATCTTAGAGTATTAGGCTGAATGCGACTGATATACATGACATATAATATTCCATAGTATTGCATACAATATATGCAAGCGCATAATCTTCTTTCAAAATAAGCTTTAAAAATCCATCTACTGCTGGAGACATCAAGATAGTGTGTTGGTAGCATTAAAATATAATCTCAGTGTTTTAAGGGATTTCACTGACTAAAGCAGCTTACAACTGAATTAAACAAAACCTCCCCGCCACTAATCCTTATTAGTTGACCACTTGCTGTTCTGAAATCTAACCACCCCTAGAACAAAAATAATCTAAAAAGAGAAGTGCGAGTTGGGTAGGATGAGTAAACCAGTCTTTCCTTTAATGTGCAAAAGACATTAAGTGTGTCATTTTTTTATGGAATAGTTTAACAAGAATAGTTTTACAATTAAAAAAAAATCAGATCTGAAGTTGCATTAAATTAACTGATGAAAACAGTGCCTCATAATGTGAAAAGTTGATTAAATTAAATTCCTCTTAAAAAACTAAAGTCTTTTCAAGCAATCTCACTTCTCTTCCAGACTCTATGGCAACATTGCACAAAGAGTTCAATAATGATTTAAAAGGAAAGAACAAATTATGGAATATATGGATCCATCTCTTAACAAGTTATATGAATTGCCAATGTTATAAGGAAACATCTAATATTGCAGTTCTTAACAGAAATCTTTTGTGGGTATTGCTGCATGAAACATTTGTCCTGAGGATATACAGGTACATAGAACAGCAGTCAAATCCCCAATTTTTAAAAACAAGCCTTCTAGATACTATCTAAAGATTTATTTACATAGAAGAAAAAAAATAAACATCTTTTTAAAATATTTTGTTTAAAACAAAAGTGAATTTTCAAAGAAATAATATCAATAAATGGACAGAGAATGACAAGTTATGCAATTAATGCTCTATATAACATGTATAAAAGATAAACCATACCAAGCAAAGTATATTGAGTTGTATTGTCGAAGGCTTTCACAGCCGGAATACAATGGCCGGTGTGGGTCTTCCGGGCTGTGTGGCCGTGTTCTGTAAGTTTTGTTTCCTAATGTTTCACCAGCATCTGTGACCGGGCTCCTTTTAGAGAAGGGGAAAAACGACGCGGGCGTCGGACAAAAGAGACGGGGGCTCGTGATGTGG